TTATGTACCCCTAACATGCATAGTCGTGAATATATGAATATTCATGCGTCTATATGTGTGTGTGTGTGTGCTTGTATATTTTGTGTGTAGGCATGTAGGCTCTGTTTATTATTTTTTTATGGAGAATCGCATTTTGTTTATTTTTTTATTTGCAAATGCTGATATACATAGTTAGTAAGGTTTGTAGTGAGTTAGCCTCATTAGTAACCGCAATTTAGAATCTATACATTTTTCGATTGTTTTATACATACTGATCTCGTTAATCCATTATTCATCATAAGCGCACAAAAGTACGAATTAACGTACATTTGCAGATACCCAATAGCGTGCGTTCACATGGGGGGACGATTATGTACCCCTAACATGCATAGTCGTGAATATATGAATATTCATGCGTCTATATGTGTGTGTGTGTGTATGTATGTATGTATATATGCTCGCACACACACACACACACACACACACACACACACACACACACACACACACACACACATACTCACACAGATACACATACACATGTGTGTGTATGGTATGTGTGTGTGTGTGTGTATATATGTGTGTGTGTGTGTGTGTGTGTATGTATGTATGTATATATGCTCGCACACACACACACACACACACACACACACACACACACACATGCACACACATGTGTGTATATGGTATGTGTGTATGTGTGTGTGTGTGTGTGCATGTGTGTGTGTGTGTGTGTATGTATGTATGTATGTATATATGCTCGCACACGCACACACACACACACACACACACACACACACACACACACACACACACACACACACACACACACACACACACACACACATACACACACACACGCACACACGCACACACACACACACACACACACACATACACACACACACACACACACACACACACACACACACACACACAGACTCTGAGACATACATATACTATAGCCACATGGTACATGAACCGACAAACATAAAAAAAAAAATGTACGTACAAAATGACGTCATCCAACCACTACGCTACTACAGGCAAGTAATGAATGAATGGAGACAAGGGAGATGGAAGGGAGTAGGCGGAAAGGGAAGGGATATGAATGAATTCGGAAGAGAATGAAAAGAAAAAAAAGGATAAAGTGGGATTCATGAAGCAATGTGCCAATAAGGATAAAAAACAAATATATAAAAAAGGGTAAATGAAGTTAGACAGGAAAGAAGATTGATGAAAATAGCTAGAAATATGAGAAAAAGAAATGAGAGAACTACAGTAAGAATGGAAGGAAGGCTGAATGAAAGCATTAAGTGTAAAGCGGAAGGAATGGAAGTCAATGGAAGGTTTGGAGAACACTCTACGGTCTTTGCTACCCACATTTGACTTACGTCTCTACGGATACCTGTATAATGGCGGGAACGAATTTATTATTTTTTTATGGAGAATCGCATTTTATTTATTTTTTTATTTGCAAATGCTGATATACATAGTTAGTAAGGTTTGTAGTGAGTTAGCCTCATTAGTAACCGCAATTTAGAATCTATACATTTTTCGATTGTTTTATACATACTGATCTCGTTAATCCATTATTCATCATAAGCGCACAAAAGTACGAATTAACGTACATTTGCAGATACCCAATAGCGTGCGTTCACATGGGGGGACGATTATGTACCCCTAACATGCATAGTCGTGAATATATGAATATTCATGCGTCTATATGTGTGTGTGTGTGTGCATAAGGAGTTATATATATGTTTGATATGAAAATACATATTTTTTCCGCATATGTATATGTATATAGCTTCATACTAACGGTTGTATATCTTATATTCTAATATGATTTAAAGACTATTCCTTTATTCATAACTATAAATTCTGAACCCAAAATATCGTGTTCGAAACATAGCCATTGTTAATTAAAGGCTTATGATACCGTGCGAGTTGCAGGAAGCCCATATTGTCTTGCTCATTACAATCCTTTGATTTTTCATCCCCAGTTATGATCGACGGGCCCCATATCGCCCTCCTGTGGGTGGTTATAGGCCAGGAGAATGAGTAGATCTTTCTTGTCCTCAACCGATCACTTGTGGCCACGCCCCCTTAAGTCGAGCAAGCCAATAGCCGGCGAGCTCCGCCCCACCACGGCTGCTGAGTGGTTACTTCCACAAAGATCAATATGGCGCCGTCCCACGTCCTTCGTTTCTCTTTCTGAAGGAGAGCTGCAGAAATTTCACCTTCACACGTAAAGTATCGATCGGTTAGATGCTCATCCTTCCCTTAGCTCTAAATGAAACCACCAGATTTGCTTTCTGACAGCCTTTCTCGCATAGTGGATCGTAAGCCTTTCGAGCCGGCCCGTGTGCATAGCTTACGTAGGAGCTGCGGAAGGGCCGAAGGCAGGTGCGGCCGGTGCCAGTAACGATCCCGGCCGAGCCAACGGAGTGAGCCTCGCCGGTGTGCGTTGGCGGTACACCTGTACTTATAGTTGTGCGCGGGGCCGCTAGGTGGCAGC